AACATAAGAGACCTCCTTATTTATTACAATACATGTGCCAACCTAAAACAAACAGAGGCTATCTGCTTATTTAGAGCATTACATAAGCCTGCCTGTAATGGTTATGACCCGCTTGTACATGTATTTTTAGTGCAGAAAGTGATTTTCAAGACTGTGTCAGTTTTTACTATATTTCAAATGATTCTTAAGACCTCTAAATGCGTAGGGTGCGACTAAAACTCAAAAATAACGCTCAATATACATAAATTCTACATTCTTGTATTTTTGACATCATGCAAAACACATCTTGAGGAAAGTTGCACTCACACAAGTTGCATAGATGTTTATTCACTCTTTTAGGTCATTTAGATCACATTCACACCATTCAATTTCATCACGAGAGTCCTTAGATTGTGAGTGCTAGTGATGATCAAACCCTTCACATTTGGAACTGGCAGTCACATACCTGCATTTCTGTTTTGACTGGTCATAATCATTATGTTATGTGTGCGCTTTTTCATCCCAAGGACGACCTCGTTGTATCTGCATCATTGGACCAGACTGTTCGTGTTTGGATATTGGGTCGCTTAAGAGGAAAAATGTGTCTCCAAATGATGATATACTTAGTTTGATTAAGATGAATACTGATCTTTTTGGTGGGCTACGTAATTGGCCTTGTTGTTTGGGGTAGAAAAGAGTTATGAGTTGGTTGATTTTAATGAACGATGTTATGATCTCATTCTAACGGTTAAACGTTGCTTGTGTGCGCTTGCGGAAGAGGATTAAGTGTTTGTTTGTGTCGCATTAGAATGGATAAACATGTTCTTTGTGAAAAAAGTTTGCATCGTATAGGGGCAAGAAAAATAGGATTTAATTGGTTGGATTGTTTTTAAGCTGAAAACGAGTGATTGGTTCAAACCAAGTGTGCACTAGGCCCTATAATACTCGAGAAACAAACAAATGTTCATTCGCCGATTCCTTTTTCATCCAAAATATTTGTTTAGAAAGATTACTTTTATGGAAGATGAATAATCGGTGTAAGCAAAGTATGCACTAAGCTTCTGATATTTGAGAAACAAACGAATGTTTATTTGCCCTTTCTTTCTCCCTAATTTATTGTAAAAATATTTTTGAAATGACTTTGATTATATAGAAAAATAAGCTTGGTGTTGACCAAGTATTAGGTTTGCAGGCGTATGAGAAACGAAGAGAAACTTTGAATTGATGGCTAATCTTATTGGTGAAATGATTTAGAGAAAAGTTTGATGTTGATCAAACATTTGTCCTTAAAAGGTTAACACTATTAAAGGTGCAAGAATGGCATGATAATAAGAAATATATTTGGTTTAAGCTTGTTAAAATAAACTTGGTTGAAGCTAAGAAAGCTTGTTAAAAAATTGGTTGAAGCTAAAATAATTTGGTTGAAGCAATGACTCCACCCGATTATGTAGCCCAGCGGTGGTTGATCCCTAACACCTAAAAAGAAAAAGAAATTGTGTGTTCATATATGTGAATAAATGACAACTAGTTGGAATAAGTTGGGTATACCTAGACATGCCACCCTTCCCAAAAGTTAGTTTGTTCCCCTAATTTGAATAAATCAAAAGAAAATCTTCTTAGCCATGCTCACCTATATGTTATGATTTATGTGTCGATGAAATGCTTTTAATTTATCATTCTATTAAATGATATGCTATCATCTAGAAGGGGGTTGAATAGATCGGAAATGAAAATTTCAATTTAAAAATCCATTTTAAAATGTTTTAAATATGGCGCGCGGAAACAAATTCGGATCGACAGTCGTCTATCCAAACTATTATAAAAAAGACCAGATATGCATTAAACCAATAGAATAAGTTTACGTATAATGAGAAAAACAACTAATATATTTCCAGCAAACCAACTTTGAATAAACTACACTATATCAATCAATTTCCAATGAAATAATCGACAAAAATTAACTAAGGAAATTTGTCGAACACTTGGAGTTCAATCAATACAAACCAGATTTTGTTTGATTTTGTTGATATTAGAAACCAATTAAATAATAAATATTGTAATCAAATCAACAAAATAGTTTATGGTATTAACCTAAGAAATTATCTCGATGTATCGATCATATAATTGAAGTTTTCATAATTTGCAATAAAATGTAAACTAGAGAGTAAGAGATAAAGAGAGAGAGACAAAGATTTGTTTAGGAAGTTCCCCAATCAGCCTCGCGTACGTATGCTCCCAATTCCATTCGGAATTGAGATAATGAAAATTAACTTTTGCAAAAATGTTGATTACAAGAGAACAAGTAACAATTCAAGAAGCAAAACCCTAAGTATGTTGTTGATCCTATATTCTTCTCTCCCTTTGATCAGAGCACGATCAAGTGAACCCGATACTTCCAATTTGATCCTCAATCTCATGTTACTCCTTTGCAAGAACCCCCATTCTTTAAAGACTTTACTCGGCTGAATCCAAATTATAAACATATCGTGATCCAAGATTTACCAAATTGATCCTCCGTCTCGCTCTACTCTTTTGACCGAACCCACTATTATTTGAAGCTTTCACTCGACTGAATCCAAATTATATAATCTTGTCCAAAACCTTCAAATCACTAATTAATATTGAAGGAAAACCCCAACTTGGTTTTCTTATTTGAATCCCCCAAAGAATTCTCTACTCAATCTTACAACGAATTCTAATTGGATATTATCACGCTATCTCTAGATGACACTCAAACAAAGAACTATTATGTATAATTTGTTTGTGTTTATGAATAGAGAGAGTATGCAGATGATAAGAAATTGCTTTGTACATTTATCGTTTCGTGTTTTAGAAATGATGCATGAATGTGTGTGTGTGTGTGTGCATGTGTGTGTGTGAGTGAGTGTGTGTGTGTGTGTGTGTATGTGTATACGTGTGTGTGCATGTGTGTGTGTGAGTGAGTGTACTTGAGAAAACAAAAAAAACCAGGTTACAAAATTATAAAAATTGACCTTTGGATAAGTGGGAACCGACCCACTCGAAGAGGGAGTCGACCCATACTGCATGGGAGTCGACTCCAGTTGGACATAAGGGATTTTCATAAATAAGCTTAAGTGGGAGTCGATACATAGCTTGTGGGAGTCGACTCCTTCGTGCTTTGTATCGACTCAAAGACCCTGGGAGTCAGCTTCTTTGATCCAGAGAGTTCTTTTCAAATTTCTTTCAGTGAGAGTCGACTCCTATCACGAATGAGTCAACTCCAAGCATGATTTTTCATAAAATTGCATAAATTTGAAGTTCTTAACATGTTCAAAAGCTTTTGACTCAATCCCTAAGTGTCCTATGATGAGAATGAAACCTAGACATAGAGAGATATCGTTCAATATATAGAAACTACATATTTCCTAGTTTTGACATAATTCAAAACATCTAAGAGAGGATATCACACTGACATACTCCCCCTTTTTTATAATGGCAAAACATGCAACATATTTGTAGTCTCTAATCATATGTTCCTCTGAATATGTGCATCTTCCCCTTTTCAATTTTGAAAAACAACTTTGTTCTTTGATCTTGCAACAACTTCTCCTTCTTTGACAACATCAAAAAGAGAAAAATGTCACAAAACATAAGAAGCATGAAGTAACTCACACAATGACATATAAACCACTCAGAGGCGTTGCAACGATAATTTTGATCAACTACTCCACCACAAGAGTATATCTGACTCCTTAAAGATAGTTTTTGCGATGAAGTCGACCAATGTTTGTGCTTTGAGTGCTTTCTGCACTTCGTAGGAGATGTCAGATTCAGAGAGCTCTACATTCCACTTTGGAATCCTTCTTGCTAAATCCAGTTTGAAGAGTATTCCTTTAATGGGGGCAGTTCTTCGTTACTATAACGAGATGTGCCAAGAAATATTGTCTTACTTTTCTTACTGTGACTACAAGAGTCAAAACAATTTTCTCCACCTTTAATATCACACTTTTGGCCCTTGTAATACCTTTATGATGAAATACATTGGATCTTTGGAGGCCACGTTTTCGAGAACCAGATTGCCCCTCACAACTTTTAATAACACAAACAAATAAATGAAAAATGTCTTGCCATACTAGAGACAAATTAGAATATGTGATTGCGATAATACCTCTTTGAATCTTGTGAAGACCGTCTCACACTATGAGGTCCATTCAAACACATACTCCTTCCTCAATAATTTATAAAATGGTAAAGCGTAATGGATAAACCTGGAGATAAATTGCGATAAAACTACTGACATGCTATTTATTCGCTAAATTCCTTTATTAGTTTTAGGGCCTGCCATGTTAACTATAGTTTGACACTTTTCAAATTGACTATGGTTTGTCTCACTATTAAGTAATTTCTAAAATTTTGACATATCCTAACTCCGAATATGCCTTACTTCAGATTTAAACACGTCATATTCTTGACTTTCTTAAATACGGTCTCCAAATACATACTTATGAGATAACTCGTGAATGAAAAATAAAAAATATACTATTTTTTAAGTGTATATACAACTTAAATAACCGTTAAAAACTTACACAACCGTAAACTCTCGTTGATTACGTCCAGTTTAACAATATCAAACTTTTATAAATTTATAAATTAAGTTAAGATTTGCATACAAAATGTTATATTTTAAAAAACTAAATAAGTAGTAATGTTTTTAGCTTTTTGTCTAGTTAATATAGTCAACAATTTTGTTGAAATTATCATTCTCATCTCAAATGTTTGGACAAATCACAAATACACAATATTTTTGTTTTATAAAAATAGGAAGGTGAGAAGAAAGAAAGTTGAGAAATTTGCAAAAAAATAAATAGGTTTATGAGAGGACAGACTAGTAAATCGGATACGCTGGAGAAGAGTGTACCAACAAGGATTCTCACTCCCCCCACCCAGATCTCAATCCTCCTCTTTCCCGATCTCCATTTTTCACCTTCTTGATCTCTCAACCTTAACTCCCAAATCTCAAATCCCACACATACACACCACTCTTAACCTGGATTTACAAGATGTTGACCAAATTCGAGACCAAGAGTAACAGAGTGAAGGGTCTCAGCTTCCACCCGAAACGACCATGGATCCTCGCCAGTCTCCACAGCGGCGTCATCCAGTTATGGGATTACCGCATGGGAACCCTCATCGACAAATTCGACGAACACGACGGTCCCGTTCGCGGCGTCCATTTTCACAATTCTCAACCCCTCTTCGTCTCCGGAGGTATCGTTATTCAATAACATCACCCAAAAAATCATAGATCTATAGATTTGTTATTAATTGAATTTGAGATTTATAATGTTATAATGTTATAATGTTATAATGCCAGGTGATGATTACAAGATCAAGGTTTGGAACTACAAACTGCATAGATGTTTGTTCACTCTATTAGGTCATTTAGATTACATCCGGACCGTTCAATTTCATCATGAGAGTCCTTGGATTGTGAGTGCTAGTGATGATCAAACCATTCGCATCTGGAACTGGCAGTCAAGGACCTGCATTTCTGTTTTGACTGGGCATAATCATTATGTTATGTGTGCGCTTTTTCATCCTAAGGACGATCTTGTTGTGTCTGCCTCGTTGGATCAGACTGTTCGGGTTTGGGATATCGGGTCGCTTAAGAGGAAGAACGCCTCTCCGGCTGATGATATACTTAGGTTGAGTCAGATGAATACTGATCTTTTTGGTGGGGTTGATGCTGTTGTTAAATATGTCTTGGAAGGGCATGACCGGGGTGTTAACTGGGCTTCTTTTCATCCGACGCTGCCTCTTATTGTTTCTGCTGCTGATGATAGGCAGGTTAAGATTTGGAGGATGAATGGTAAATATCTAAACATTCTTCAGTTATCGATTAATTGGGACACGACATTGTTTACGTATAATAGCTGGCTTTACATTTCTAGTTTTTCGATGTTATGTTCATTGCATTTTAGTATTGCTGTGATTCTGATTATAATATCATCTTAACATGTGTTGGTATTTGTGGACAAACTTAAAATTTAAATTACATGTATTTATCTGTGTTAAAGAAAAGCTAAATTCTTAGGTATCTGTGATAAGTAATTGGGTACCGTACCTTTAGTGCAAAATGGTTTAGAATTTAAATTTATTTTAAGATAAAATAATTATAAAAAGTGATGTGTAATTGAATAATAATATTTGATTGGACAAGGGTATTGATACCCAACTAAGTTCGAGGGTACTGGAGTGTTCGCCTAAAGAAAAATTTGTGTTGAGTCAGTTATTGTATTGTAATTTGTATGCATTAAATGTTGAAATATATAGTGAAAGTGTAAAAAAAATGGTTTGGTATTATTTGAAGTGTGACTAGCTTCTGCTGCTAATATAATTACTATCTTTGTGTTGAGTCAGTTATTGTATTGTAATTTGTATGCATTAAATGTTGAAATATATAGTGAAAGTGTAAAAAACTTGGTTTGGTATTATTTGACGTGTGACTAGCTTCTGCTGCTAATAAAATTACTATCTATTTTTTCAGACACAAAGGCGTGGGAAGTAGATACTTTGAGAGGGCATATGAATAATGTTTCATGTGTAATGTTCCATGCCAAACAGGATATCATTGTGTCAAATTCTGAAGACAAAAGTATTCGCATATGGGATGCAACAAAGCGAACTGGAATTCAAACATTTCGCCGTGAACATGATAGGTTTTGGATTCTCGCTGCACATCCTGAAATGAATTTGTTAGCGGCTGGTCATGACAGTGGTATGATTGTTTTTAAGTTGGAGAGGGAAAGGCCTGCCTTCACGGTTAGTGGGGATTCTTTATTCTACACAAAAGATCGGTTCTTGTGTTTCTATGAATTCTCAACACAAAGAGACGTGCAAGTACTTCCATTTCGACGACCGGGTTCTTTAAGCTTGAATCAAAGTCCAAAGACTCTTTCCTATAGCCCAACTGAAAATGCATTTCTGTTGTGTTCAGATGTAGATGGTGGATCTTATGAGTTGTATTGCATATCAAAGGATGGTTATGGTAGGGGAGATGTGCAAGATGCAAAAAAAGGTCACGGGGGATCCGCAGTCTTTGTTGCTCGTAATCGGTTTGCTGTGCTTGAGAAGAGCACCAATCAAGTCCTTATCAAAAGTTTGAAGAATGAAATTGTTAAAAAGAGCGCCCTTCCAGTTGCCACTGATGCTATATTCTATGCAGGAACAGGTAACTTACTTTGTAGGTCTGAAGATAGGGTTGTTGTGTTTGATCTTCAACAGAGGATTGTTCTTGGTGATCTCCAGACCCCTTTTATCAAATACGTTGTCTGGTCTAATGACATGGAACATGTTGCTTTGCTAAGCAAGCATGCCATTATAATAGCTAGCAAGAAGCTTGTGCACCAATGCACTCTCCATGAAACAATCCGTGTAAAAAGTGGAGCTTGGGATGACAATGGTGTTTTCATTTATACTACACTAAATCACATTAAATATTGTCTTCCCAATGGAGATAATGGGATTATAAAAACACTGGACGTTCCCATTTATATCACAAAGGTTTCAGGAAACATAATCTTCTGTTTGGACCGGGATGGAAAAAGCCGTGTAATAACTATTGATGCAACTGAATATATTTTTAAGCTTTCCCTCTTCAAAAAGAAATATGACCATGTTATGAACATGATAAGGAACTCTCAACTCTGTGGGCAGGCTATGATTGCTTATCTTCAACAGAAGGGCTTTCCTGAGGTGGCCCTGCATTTTGTGAAAGATGAAAAAATTCGGTTCAATTTGGCTTTAGAAAGCGGGAACATTCAAATTGCAGTTGCATCAGCCACTGCAATTGATGAGAAAGACTACTGGTATCGTTTAGGGGTTGAAGCTCTTCGCCAAGGTAATGCTGGCATAGTAGAGTATGCATATCAGAGGACAAAAAATTTCGAGAGGTTGTCTTTCCTTTATCTTGTAACGGGCAACTTGGAGAAACTTTCAAAAATGTTGAAAATTGCTGAAGTGAAGGAAGATGTAATGGGCCAGTTTCACAATGCCTTATATATGGGTGATGTTCGAGAACGCGTCAAGGTCTTGGAGAAAGTGGGCCATTTGCCTCTTGCTTACATAGCTGCATCAGTCCATGGGTTGCATGATGTTGCTGAACGGCTTGCAACTGAACTAGGAGATAATGTTCCATCTTTGCCTAAGGGGAAAGTACAGTCTCTCTTGATACCTCCTTCACCCGTCATGGGTGGAAGTGATTGGCCCCTTCTTAGGGTTATGCGAGGCATGTTTGATGGCGTGTTTGACAATACAGGTCGGGGAGTTGCCGATGAAGAAGAGTACGAGGCTGCTGATGGAGACTGGGGTGAGGGGCTTGACATAGCTGATGTGGATGCCTTGCAAAATGGAGATGTTGCTGAAATTTTGGAACACGGAGAAGTGGCTGAAGAAAATGATGAAGGTGGATGGGAGATGGAAGATTTAGAGCTGGGCCCTGAAGCCGACACCCCTAAAGCTTCTATTGGCACACAGTCTTCAGTTTTTGTCGCACCACCACCTGGCATGCCAGTAAGCCATATATGGGTGCAGAAATCATCACTTGCGGCTGAGCATGCAGCTGCTGGAAATTTCGATACTGCAATGAGGTTGCTGAACCGACAACTTGGGATAAGGAATTTTGCCCCCTTAAAATCCATTTTTCTCGATCTTCATACTGGCAGTCATTCCTATTTGCGTGCATTTTCATCTGCTCCAATCATATCACTTGCAGTTGAAAGAGGTTGGACCGACTCATCTAGTACAAATGTGAGAGGCCCCCCAGCTCTTCCTTTCAAATTATCCCAGCTGGATGAGAAGCTTAGAGCTGGTTATAAGTTTTTTACTGCTGGCAAATTCACCGAGGCTCTTAAGACATTTGTTAATATTCTTCATACAATTCCTTTGATTGTGGTGGAGTCAAGGAGGGAAGTGGATGATGTGAAGGAACTGATTATCATAGTCAAAGAGTATGTTTTGGGTCTGCAGATCGAGCTGAAGAGAAGAGAAACTAAGGACAATCCAGTGAGACAGCAGGAACTTGCTGCGTATTTCACTCACTGTAACTTTCAGGCACCTCACTTGAGGTTAGCTTTGTTGAATGCAATGACTGTCTGCTACAAAGCTAAGAACCTTGCCACCGCTGCTAACTTTGCTAGGAGGCTGCTTGAGACAAATCCCACCATTGAAAACCAAGCGAAGACAGCAAGGCAAGTGCTGGCAGCTGCGGAAAGAAATATGACTGATGCCACACAGTTGAACTATGACTTCCGAAACCCATTTGTTACTTGTGGGGCAACATATGTGCCAATCTATCGAGGACAGAAGGATGTTGCTTGTCCTTATTGTACTTCCCGTTTTGTGCCAACCCAGGAGGGGCAGCTTTGTGCTGTTTGTGATATTTCAGTGATAGGGGCTGATGCTTCTGGACTGCTATGTTCACCTTCCCAGGTACGCTGATCGAGCTATAAGACCAGGAGCATTTTATAAAATTTTGTTTCAGGTCAATTTTCAGCACTAGATAGATCCCTATTGTTCAGTTTATATTTTCATGGGACTGTGATAGAAGCAAGAAATAGTTAAGAGGAATTACTTTTTTGCTCTTCAGCTTACTCTTTTGTTCAGTTTAAAGTGATTTTCAATGTAATAAATCCATTTCGTATCTTGAGGGTTGTTAGTTTTTCATACACAAGAAAGTGAAAGGTTGTACCTGGATCAAATTTATGGTTATAGGCTTTATGCTTATTTTTGTTTGGCAAAGTACATATCACTTGTATTCAATTGGACTTCAGTCCCTTGGTTACAAGAATCATATTTCTTTGTAAAAGTTCTTTATTTGATTGTCAGTGGATGCGATTTACTCGAGGCTTCTGGGTAAGGTTGCTCACTCAACGCCCTGAAGAATCTTACATATTGCTACTCTCTTTACATGCTTTAAAAATTGTCTTTTGAAAAAATAGTGAGGGTAATGTTAAAAGGTACTTTTGGTTTCTTCTCGTGCACTCCGTAGTCCTGACTGAGATAATTGGTTGAACTCTGGCATTCTAGAGTCATTATGTTTTATAAAAAATTCTTATTAATTCTATTCCATCGTAAATAAAAATATTTGAAAGTTGGCCATTGTCGTGTTACTCGGCTCGAGAGACTAGTTTGTGCATATACTAGAGAACTAAGGTAGACTTCTTTCAATTTATGAAGATTTCTAATCTCGATCAAGCAATGATCCTCTTCCAACTCTATACACAATTCTGCCCAATGAATGATTTTTATTGAATCTGTTGTTCGTTATCAAATATTGTATAGATGGCACCTTAACAAAAAATTATTATGTTTAATTTGTTAGTGTGTATGCATGGGTTGGAGATTGAAGGTGAAGAGCAATTGTAAGAAATTTTTATGGTATCAAGTTGGAATGATGTATGAATGGTGTATTTATAGTTGTGGAAGTTCAAATGCAAAAAGGAGATTTTGGGAATTAAAAAGAATTGAAAAATTGACCTAATCAAATAATATGTGTCGACATGAAAATCGTATGTATCGATACATAAGTCAAATTTCAACTGTATGTGTCGACTTGAACAGATGGATGTGTCGATCGAAGCAAGACAATAATAGCTTTTAGTTTTAAAAAAGTAGTATACGTGTTGACCTGAAATTCGTATGTGTCGACACATAAAATAAGAATTTCTGTAATTTTTTAAAAGCTTCAGTATGTGTCGACTTGTATGCATGTATGTGTTGACCTAAGCCTTTCAGAGACTTCAGACTTTAAAACTCAGTTGCATGTGTCGACCTGAAATTCGTATGTGTCGACACATGTAATAAAAATCTATACAGAAACTTGGTTTTTAAGGTTTCTAAGACCTCTAATACAAAGGAGTGTCACAAGTCATAAAGATACCGTCCAATATACAGAAATGATAAATTTTGTTAGTTTTGACATCATGCAAAACATCTAATAGTAAAATTGTACTCGCACATTCCTCCTTTTTGATGATGACAACTTGCGACAATGCATTTCATGTAATTGTCGAAGGCTCTCCCTGACTTTGTGCTTCTTCACTTCATCTCACATAAGTTTTTTCCCCTTTGACAATATCAAAAAGAAAAATAGCAAATCGTGAGAAGTATCATGTTCCAATACACTAATATATCATTCAAAGGCGTTTTTGCATAAAAAAGCAACAACCACATATCCCCACATATATGCAATGATGCGAAATTAATAAATAGCCAACAAATAACATTACAACAAATGTAATACAATGCATGATGAATAAATAATGCAGTGAAAGAGTAAACTTTTCAAGTCGCTTTTATAGCGTCATGATTTCGTAACACATCATAATGGAACTTTCGATGCCGCAGACACATGTGCCTTAGCATAGCAACAAGAACATGTCACTACTAAAACCAAAATGAAGATGTCTATCATAACATGTGACAAGCTACAACATGAAACACATATTATAAATAACACACATACAAATAACTCAAGTAAGAATGCAGGAAATAAGCTAAATAAACACACATGCTAGCACAACAAGAACAAACTTATACAAATGTGAAAGAATTAATTACTGAAGTCATTATAAGCATATACATTGATAATACATAATTATTATCAATCAAAATTTTTGGAAATGAACATTCACGATTTTCATTATTTGAAAGCATATCAAGCATTTTTAACCAACAATTAACATGCATTAAGAAAAGTCTTACTTTCAAGGAGAAATTGAAATGATATTACCTCACTCTTGATGGAATGAAAGTTGCACTCACATGATATAAAAATATTCAAACAAAAGGTTAGAGTAAAAAGAGTATATAGTGCAAACAACTAAGTAAATTTAAGCAACATTGGAGATGTCAATGATCCTCAATTCTCCACGTATGTTGAAAAACTGTTCGGTTGCAAGAGGTTTAGTGAAAATATCCGCAAAATAATTTTTATTATTAACATGCTCGAATGCAACATCCCCTTTTTCAACGTGATCGTCAAGGAAATGGTGACGTATCTCAATATGTTTAGTGCGAGAATGTAGCATCAAATTCTTGGTTAGATTGATGACACTAGTGTTGTCGCACATGATAAGAATACATGAAAGTTTAATGTCAAAATCAAGTAATTGTTGCTTTAACCATAATATTTGGGCACAACAACTACCGACAACCACATACTCTGCCTCGGCCGTTGACAAAGCAACATAAACTTGTTTTTTTCTATGCCAGCTAACCAAGGATTTTGAAAATATTTGACAAGTTCCACTAGTACTTTTCCTATCCGATTTGCAATCTGAAAAATCAGAATCAGAGTAACCAACCAAGATACAATCGTTTCTCTTGGAGTACCAAATCCCAAACCTAGAGGTACCAATAAGGTATATAAGAATACGCTTAACCGCTTTTAAGTGTGATTCCTTGGGAGTCGATTGATATCGTGCACACATACAAACACTAAATATAATATCAGGTCTAGACGCAATAAGATATAAAATAGAGATCCAATCATACCTCTATATTTTTGACCTCAACATCCTTACCCTTTTCATCTCTATCCAAATTACCATTTGTTGCCATGAGTGTGTCAATTTCCTTTGTACCGTCTATTTCGAATCTCTTCAATAATTCGAGACAATACTTGGTTTGACATATAAAAGTTCCTTCGTTGAGTTGCTTAATTTGAAGTATGAGAAAGTAATTTAACTCGCCCATTAGACTCATTTCAAACTCTCCCTGCATAAGCTTGGAGAACTCCTTAACAAGATGCATGTTAGTTGATCCAAAAATGATATCATCAACATAAACTTGAACAAGTAAAATATGCTTTCCTTGATGTTTAATAAAGAGTGTAGTGTCTACCTTCTTCCTAGAGTATCCTTGATGAAACAAGAACTTGCTATGTCGGTCATATCATGCCCTTGGGGCTTGTTTAAGACCATACAAAGCACATTTTAGCTTAAAAACATGATTAGAAAACTCATAATTTTTAAAATCGGGAGGTTGTGAAACATACACCTCTTCATTTATGTATCCGTTAAGGAATACACTTTAAACGTTCATTTGATATAATTTGAAGTTCTTAGAGCATGCATATGCTAGTAAAAGGCGTATAGCCTCGAGTCGGACAACCAGAGCATAAATCTCCTCATAATAAATGCATTCCTCTTGGTTATACCTTTGAGCCACTAGACGGGCCTTATTCCTTATTATCACATCATGTTCGTCAAGTTTATTCCTAAATGTCCATTGTGTGCCTATCACTTGATGATTTTGTGGATGGGAGACAAGGTCCCAAACGTCATTTCTTTCAAATTAATGCAATTCTTCGTGCATGGTCATAAGCCAATGCTTATCAAGTAAGACATCTTTTGCGTTTTTAGGTTCAACTTGTGATACGTACGCGTGGTGATAACAAAAATTACTTATCTTAGAGCATATTGTTACCTCTTTTGTGATATCACCAATAATATTATCAATTAGACGATCCTTGGAGGTTCTCCACTCCAATGGAAGACTATCATCTTCTTGTTGACTTTCATCATACTTATTTTCTTAGTTATCATCTTCGTCCTCTCAATTTCCATCGTTTTAGGTTGATCAACTCCTTTATCGATGTCTTTGAGTATGTCTTTCATAGATGCACCTACACCATGAAAAGAAATACCTCTTTCCAACACTATTTGGGCAAGTCTCATCAAAAGTAACATGAACTGACTCTTCAACAATAAGTAATCTTTTGTTATAAACTCTATATGCTTTACTAGATTGTGAGTATTCAAAAAAGATACCTTCATCGACTTTTGCGTCAAATTTCCCAAGATTATATTTTCCATTATTTAAAACAAAACATTTACATCCAAAGACATGAAGATGCGATAAATATGGTTTTCTACCTTTAAAAGTTCATAAGGCGTTTTGTCAAGTATAAGACGAATAAGTATCCTATTCAAGACATAACATGCCGTGTTAATAACACCGACCTAAAAATATTTTGGTAGACCACAATCATTGAGTATTGGTTTGACTAACTATGCTAAAACACGATTTTTACACTCCACAACACCATTTTGTTGTGGAGTTCTAGGAGCTGAAAAGTTATGTTCAATACAAAATTTATCGCAATATTCTTCAAAGAGGTGGTTTTCAAATTGACCTCTATGATCGCTTTGAATGGCAACTATCTTAGAGTTCAATTTATTTTAACTTGGCGAAACGTGTGAAAGTCGAGAATATTTCATCTTTGCTACGTAAGAAAATAGTCCAACAAAATCTTGAGTAATCGTCTACAATTACAAATCCATAGTAATTACCACCTATGCTTTTGGTCTGTGAGATTCCAACTAAATCCATGTGAAGGAGCTCAAGAGGTCTCGATGTTGAAACAACATTTTTAAATTTAAAAGAGACTCTTGTTTGCTTACCTTTTTGACATGCATCACATAGGTGATCTTTTG